TTCCGTTTGCAAGCGTGCGGTATTCTCGAAGACACTTTGGCGTTAACCTTCTCTATGGTGCAAGACGATTCTCCGGTCTCGGGCAGAGCCTTAGATGCGTTTATAGAAACAATCTTCATTCTCTTCGCGCCGTGTCTCACTATCGCCGTTTCTTCGCAAGTTGTATTAGTTTTAGCCGAATTATTCGTCGGCGTTAATTTCTTACTCGTATAAGTGTCAAAACGCGGCGGTTCGAGAGTCAGATCGACATATCCGACCGTATTGTTGGATCTGTTCGGCCGATGGCGATCGATCGTCTTTTGAAACGGCTTCGCTCCTCCTTCGGAGCTAATCGCACAAATTATGGTATCGTTTTCCACATCATTGCTACATTGTTTCTTGAACGTTCGTCGAGTCGATGTTTGTCGCGGCTTTTTACTTGCCTTAATTCTTTTCATCGCTGTATAAAGAGCTGCACCGCGACGAAAGAGACATTTTTTTACCAAATTACTTTCACTTTTTATGACGTTCTTCGTTCCCATCACCGCGTCGTTTAGTTTTGTTTCTAATTCTTTCAATATACAGGTATTCTGCGCGGTGACGCCTTCGCAGTCCTGTAAATGAGAGACGCTCATGTAGATCGCATGTGTCACAAGAATATCTTTCTCATATATTTTTTTACATTTTGTGTTACGTGTATATTTCATTCATTACTGTCAGTCAATGCAAACAACGCGCACGATCGATACCAGGCTATTTTATGTTCATTAGGATCGATACATGGTCAGGATCTCGGGAAATTAAATATAAATAGGGTAAATAAATGAATAATCGCGCTAAAACTGTACATTTATTAATATAGCTGGATGTTTGAATCATTGTATGTGTACAATTAATGCGATACATCATAATTTCTACACATGGATGCATAGATGATGCAAAGAGAATCAGATTAGGACGACTGGTTCAAATTTGTTTTTGAAATTTAAAATTTTTCGTTCAAGTTGGCAATTATTTTTTAATAGTTTGATGAAATCACACGAGGTTACAAGTTACACCCGTCATCAACCAACAGTCTTAACATTCATAACAAATGTACAATGTTATATTTTCTATACATTTTTTTAATATAAAGGAAATTATCGTTATATGCTACGAAACATCAATTGTATTTTACGTTACGTGTGTATGCGCGCGTACGTTTGCCTATTTTGTCACACACACACACACACACACACACACGCGCGCGCGCGCGCGCGCGCGCTCGCACAAAAATTTATCAAGTATAAAACTTGTATACACTTGCCGCGAAAAACAGTTTGATATATCATTGATGTAGCATCATATCAGTCCTTTATACGGACCGAGTTTGACTCAAATAATAACCAAGTCTGATGTTAATTAAAATTTTGCTCGAAAGATAAAATCAAATTTGAATGTAATTTTAGTTAGATGCACATTTGATATTAATATAATCTACATATGCGCCTGGACAAAGTTAATAGCAGTCTAATCTAATAGCAGGATCATATTTTGACTGTAATTAAGTGCATATTAAGAATTTGATTACTTTTTAACTTAATATTTGATTTTTATTCGAATTTAACTCGGTCCTTACAAAGGACTGATATGATGCTATCAATGATATATCAAACTGTTTTTCGCAGGTTATCACAACGTGGTTGTGTTTCATAATAAACAACATGTTTGAATCAGAGCGAACAAAACATTATAACTCGTATTTCAACAATTTTATCATCCAGAGATATAACAGTATAATCACTTGTATCTCTACGTTGCACTTTTTTGGAGAAAGATATAATTAATTATATGCATGTGCAATATTTCAATACATTTTGTTCAAAAAGATTCACATCGATTAATTGTCTTATCATTTGTTTTATCATTGTATAAATGATGTGATTGAGAATACACTTGTATGTTATCAGTGTAGTGTATACAAAACGGTTATTTACAAACAAATGGCCGCGTTCGGCAGAAAGAACTGCTTACTAAGCGCTTAGTGATTATTATCTATGATTGGAGTATTCTTTTAGATCTTTAACAAATCCAGGGGAATGAACCAATCAGAAACGATAATCACTAAGTGCTTAGTAAGCAGCTCTTTCCGCTGAATGCGGCTAATGTTATGACAGCATTAAAGCATATGAGTGATCACCGTGTATCAATCGAGTTGATTACGATGCGAGATGAATTGATTGAGGCATATCTGGAGGTACGATGCTGGATTTCATTTTTTATCTTATTTTCGCATCTTTCACTTACTGATTAGACTTTGAAATTAAAAGAAATTGACGTTAATTCAATTCGGAAAAAAAAAATTTAAGTCAATTCAAAAAAATTGATACGTGCGATTACATATTATATCGAAATTTGTTGCAAGCAATTAAAAATAAAATGAAAATGATTTCAGAATATAAAGATTATGCATATGTATAAACATTGAAATGTTTATATCATCTCAAGTTTTAGATAATTATGAAAACAATATGACAAGCCTACACACACACACACACACGCACGCGCACGCACGCACGCACGCACGCACACACACACACACGCACACACACAAACGCACACACATATGGATGTCTGTTTACTAAAGCAGATGATTTTTTAACAAGTTCAATACACGGGATATGTTATTGTCTCGTTTACAAACGTATCAAATGAAAGATCTCTACAAGTTTAGAAAAAAATTATATACAATTATGTACAAGAGCAATTTACAATATATATCTCATGCATTGAGATAAAAAATAGTGTAATATATCGTTATTGTTATAAGATATTTTGTAGGGGATCACGCATTACCCATTATCACAAAAGATCAAGTTCTCTCATATTAAGTAGATATTCTATAATTCGATACTTATTCTTTTAATTTTTACCCGTGCGCATAACCACATACGCGTTTTTGCACGCACGCACGCACGCACGCACGCACGCACGCACGCACGCACGATTTATAACATCATACACAAAGTTTCTCTTTGCTACATTTTTAATTATATATAAATGAATCGATGTCGAGACACAAATGTGTTTCGGCATTAATACTAAATAGCATACCAGTTAGTCACTGGATAATCACTACACGAATGATTACGATAGTGTACACTGCCTTATATCAGCGTTGCAAATATTGTCACTTTTATTATTTACATCAAAATTTACCTTATGCATTGATCTGCCGGACGGTGCAGAAAGATTGTTTACGTATGTTAATTTCAAATGAGATTTTACTCCTCTTAGAGAACGATATTGGCTATTTGGCAATCGGCTGTTGGGATTATCATTGGTGAGATCAAGAATGGAAGGACCTAATGCTGCTCCAACCTGTGTATTATCAATGACGAACCATATATGTTTTTGCAATGTTATCTGAGAAATTGGATAAAAGACAGAGATACAAAGTAGAGTACCGCTTCAAACATTGCCGGAGTATATTTCGGAGGAATAAACATGTGATTAATAGTTTTGTTCACTCCATCGCGAATTCTAGCGGGTATTGTATTCACCAAACGGCCAGAGTTATAATTACACTCTAGAGTATAGCTGCGTATCAGACCAGTCATCTTGTACACCGCTACGCGTCCCGAACCTTCTCTCGACATACCATCTCGTTTGTCTCTATGAAAGTCATGTACCGAATGTACATGTGTGTACTCGATACATCATAATAATATAAATAAACGAACAAATAAGTTGATACACATATACACACACACACACGCGCACATACACAGAGTGAGTTATTTTTAAGTCCCGCCCCAAGTATCTTTTTTCCCTACACCTTTTATAAAACAATGTTTCGTTCCAAAATTGCTGGACTTCAAGGGGGACCCAAGATAGAGAAAGAGATATCAGGGGTAGGAATATTAAAATGGCTCACCTTATGTGTGTGTGTGTGTGTGTGTGTGTGCGCGTGCGCGTGTGTGCGCGCTATATAATTTAAATTTTCATGGGAGAGGAGAGGAGAGGAGAGGAGAGAGGGAGGGGGGAGAGGGGGGGAGAGGGAGGGAGGGGAGAGAGAGAGAGAGGGAGGGAGGGGGAGAGAGAGGGAGGGGGAGAGAGAGAGAGAGAGATACTTACATAATGTACATGTTTTTTTCTGCAAAATTGCACGACGTGAAATGAAAGTGCGGATTATTGATAGACATCAATTTTGGTAGTAGCATACACGTAATAGTGTCTTCTGGATCGGTAAAATGATTTCCGTACATAAAGACACCTTTCTTCGAAGCGTGTCCATGAAGATCGATATATAAATATAATCCGCTATTATCTGACGATTTTGCAACTTGGCCTGTCCCGACAGCTGTATAAATTATTTTATCATCAGTCTCATCTCTCGCGATATCGATATCTTTTCTAGCTTCCTTAGACAATTCTTCACTTTCTTTGTCTATATGCAACAATCATAAATCAAGACAGGTCAGAAATCAGTCGCATACAATTACATTAATACAGGAAACAAGTGACGTACCAATTGCTGTATCGTTGAGTTTTCTTAACGTCAATAAACGTTTCTTGTTAGTTTCGACGGTACATTTGCTCTTCTCATCCAGTGACATAAGCGTTACCTTTGAAAGAAATATATAGTAACATGGAACATGTTGGTTCGCTACGACGTAAACATGTATCGATATATAATCACCCGATCAACTCTTGGAAAATTGTGCACAAACGTGTTAGCAATATGAAGCAAAATCACTAAAAGAGACTCAACAAATGTAGATCGTACTTGCTGCAACAGTCTTGCGGTTGTATCACGTACAGCGTTTGCTATCGAAGCAGTCGAATCTGTAAGGTTTACGTCTTTATCCACAATTTCTAAACTTATAGCCGACAATTCGTCACTCAATCCACTCGGTAGTTGATAAGAATGGTCGTAATATCTAAAAGAAAAGGTACACGTGTACGCATCATCACGTGTACATATCACGTATCAACACGCGCGTATATATACACGTGCGCGTGCGTGTATCGTATGTTGTGTGTAAATTAACTCTTCTCCTGTGATACGAATCTGCTCAACAGGATGCCACAATAATTTGATTAGAATCACAAGTCAACCTTATCAAGTTTCTCGCAGCATATATCGTGGGATGATCAACTTCGGAAGGATTCAGATAAACTCTATTTAGATTTACTCCTTTAGTGTCCATTCGGTAATGTCCTCCGGCAACGCCATCCGGATTGAGCATCGGTATCAATTTGAACACATACAATCGACGTAAAATGATGGCGATTTGATCTTGGCGATTTAGTAAAAAATTGAGGAAACCATTCAGGACAAAGCTAGATGGCGTCTCGCCTGGATGCACTCTGGCACTAATAAAAATTACCTGTACAAATGCGTCATCATCATAATCATCACGCGTTTGAATAAATCTGTGCGATGATATCTTTTGTAACATGACGCAACAGAGCATACCTTTTTGTTTCGAAATTTGTAAGGCCTCTCCTCATTTTTCTCGGGAAACATATTATTCAGTCTATCTTCTCTCTCCATCGATATGTTACGATAAGAGCTTACTGTCAGTACATCTAGTCTACGACCCTCCAGGGATTTTATCGCGCATTCTCGGTGATAGTAAACATCATCCACACAGGTTACACTACTCTTACCCATTCTCTGATCGACTCTTTTCAAGTAATTTTGTAAATCAGTATACGAGAATGGATAGGTAAAAGCAAAGTAAGTGACAGCTTTCGTATCATTCGGAGTATAATAAAGGAACGACAAAGTAAAGTCACTTCCTCTCTGGTCAAGCTGCAACATCAGATACAGTACGCTGTGTAACGTCGTCAAGCATATCAACGATATCTCAGTACTCTCGGTACAACAACTTGTACTTGATAACGATAAACATTGCAATTACAGTGTACGTAGGTTTTTCACGTATTCGTTCCCAATGCGAGTGTCCCGGTACGATCTTAAACACTGGACACATTCCTTGACTGAACATCTTGACTTGCTTGTTCAAATTGACTATATTAAATCTGACAGAGGAATCAGGACGACCGCATCTCACGCCAAAATAAAACCACGTTCTGTTGTTGTTTTGAAATTGCGTGCCGTGACAGTCATGCTTCGTCCACAAGTTAAACTCATAATCTTGTATGCCTTTGGAGTCAGAGCCATCTGTCAATTTGCCTTCAATTTCACAAGCATCTAGAAACAGAGAATGCAACGATATCGCGTCGTTACGTAAGAGATATATCGGTGGTTGTTGAGACACTCGATTCCTTTTCTAATTTGTACACAACATAAGAGAGACGATCGTCGTTCAGCTCGTGTATTCGTATCGATGAAGCGGACATACATACATATACACGCACATCTCATACGCGCATATAGCACAGGAGACGATCAACTTGAATCAATAAAACACTAATGTCGGGATATATAGAATTTCGTTACCTTGGTTAGAAACACCCGGTACTTTAACTTGCTCCACTTTGGCCAGGTTAGCCGAATCGAAGTTGTTAAAGAACACGAAGCCGCCGCAAACAATGTTCTCAATCATACTCGCCATGACGCGCTGAGATTACATCCGCCGTAAGATCGGTCTGCGAGACAACAACTCGTTTTGATGCGGTGCAACGTCACAACGCTCGTGACAACGCGAATAGGATCCCGAGTTATTCGCTGCCCATCACTGCGACTTTGATTTTAAATCAGACCGCGATATGTGTGGTCTTGCGATTCTGCGGACGGTACCATTCCATTCTCGTTGCTGCTGGCGAATCGTCTCTGACAGCTGTCAAACAACAATCATACAATCTCCTGCAGAGGTCACACTAAAACGCGTCGTTTACACCCCGCGAACTCGAGAATATCCTCGTAAACAACTCTGGACACTGGATGATTGAACTACTATTTGAAAAGTATCTTGTGACTCTACCGGACTCGAAGCAGAGAGGAATGTGAGAGCGGCGGCCAACGCGACGTTTTCCGGCGACACCGATTTTCCCCACTGGGAAAGGGCGCCATCTGCATCTCATTTTGAGAGGGGAACTACGGAGGAAATACCATCCACTTTCAGGTTCCGGCGGTAAAACCTGCCACCTGTGGCAGGTGGCAGTCCGTGCTACATCCATTTTCAGGCGGTTTATGTCCGTGCTACAACCATAATAGCGTACTTGACAAGCACGGTCTCGCACATTGTTACGCGTTTACAACGTGTGCAGAAAAAAAAAAAGAATTGACATTTGGTCTGTTCTTTTCAGCTGCACTGCGGAACTAGTGCAATAAGTTAGAATGAGCCAACTATATTTTTTTTCACTTTAACTTATTGCACCGGTTCAGTAGTGCAGCTGAAAAGAACAGACCAATTGTGTATGATTAATATCATGAAGATCATACGATAGGTGTCCGGCGATTAGTTTGTCAACCTGAAGTGTGAGGGTAGATTGGGTTGAGACAAACATCAAAGTCCAATACCGTTTTGCGAGATTCACAATAATTATCGAGTTATTAATGACAGAAATCTGAGGAGTAGGAGCGCGCCGACATAGATGATTGGAGAAGCGTTGCAGCTGCTCAGGGTAGCGGTCACGAGTCTTTTCCCTGGCGTGAACTGAAATGAAAAGTGAAAGACTTGTGTGAATTAGTGAAGAATGAAAAATTTTATATGAATTTGTGAAAATCGAAACATTTCACACGACAATTGGAGAAAAAGAAGAAGAAGAAGAAGAGACGGTGCTAGGCGACAGAACGACGGCAGACGACAAATATAATCTAATCGGAAATTTCAAGGTAGTACTCGCTAAATATCCCCGCTATGTCGTCGCTGCAAATTCGAGTGTACTGTTTTCACACGCGTGAGCGTATAATTTGCTCAAGCTTTCTTCACACGATTCTTGCGAAATTTGAGACGACGAGTCTCGCCCCTAAAAAAGGCCTCAGCCAATCGTATAACGTTCGTATGCGTATAAATAACACATTTGGATCGCATCTTGAATCTTTCGAAAAAAGTCGATATTCGCTCTTCGGGTTTTCACAGAGAATGTCTAAAAACCTTCCTCAAATGAGCAATATATGATCTTGAAATTTTCATGAAACCCGAAACTTGTAAAGCGTAAGTTGAAGGAACGAGAATAGTTTCCTTTGCGGTATTTCATCTCAAGATCAAGGTATTCTCAGATCGTATCTCAAGATCAGCATTCTCCACGTGCAACATTTTTCGTAGACACGTCTCGGAACATTTTTTATCAAGCACGAGCGACGAACTTGCGTAAAAGAGCTGGAAAACTTTACGAGACGTATCGTTTAGAGAACAAAGGTTATCCGCGGATGTTACTTTCCCCATACTTATCCGCAAAAATGACCGTAATGCGGATTAAACAGCCGCGGGAGCAGCTGCGGAAGGAAAATCCATGCGGTTTTTACGACCTCACCGGCAGAGCAGGCTCTGATTTCTTCTCGTCTTTATCACGAGAAAAGCGCCCCCATTTTAAAGGATGATCATAAAATGCGTGACTACTTTGTCACGCTTATATCATCAACTCCTGCTTCAATCTCCCACCCTCGATCGAGAGTATCAACGCACGATCAAGCGCGAGTTATGAAGATTCAGTTCAGTACCGCGAAGAAACTAGTCGGGGGACGCTCGCAGCCGCGGTGGAATTTAACGCTCGCGTTCGCAAGGGCCTAACATTCTACTCGCGAAAGGCACGCCATCGCCCCTTTTCTCACAACGGTGCGGATGTTTAACTCCTTTCTTCCTTATTTTCCGCTACAACGATATCGCGACTGAAAACAAAAAAGGTCGCAGTCTAAGAAGCGGTATGACGTTGAATATTCTACACAAGACCGGTATACTCATACAGTTGGAAATTATTCAGAATGTTTCATTGAGAACATAATGAATTAGAGATCCGCGTTCATGGACCGTTATCCGTCTCTGTCTGGATCAATATCTCTTGTATACAACAACGCAATAAATAGATAGACAGACAGAGATTGACGAGAATAATTGCAGATTCATAAAGTCATGATTACTAGTCGGATGATGACGAATTGTGAATGCCGAGCGCGAAATTTCGACTTCTTATTCCCGGAAAATTCGTCAAACGTCCGCTCTCGTTATCGGAGACCTCCCATAATAAATGATTCCACATATATCTGGAAACGTGTATCGCTGCCGGCGTCCTGCTTCCCGGCTGCTGGAGTCCTCCGGATTTCAGTCGCTCACGCTTCTAGTGCTGACACTCGCGATTTGACCGTGCGGTTAATCAACGCGATGCTGATGCGATGCCGATTGAGTGTCTTGAGGACCGACGAGATACATTTCTTTTAATTACACGAGACGGAAATGACGAGCGCGTCGCGCACGGCTACTGCTGATGGAATAAGATCGAGTATGCGAGGCGCACGAGTATCAATCCTTTGCGGTCGAGTGTCGGCAAATAGCCGCCCAAGCCCTTTTACCGTTGCGGACGCGTGTCGGTATATAGCCGCCCAATTGAGTTTACAGCTGCGGAGACGTATTATGAAGCGACTCGCGTGCGTCTATCTTTCTGAACGATAACATACGCATGGGTATAGTAGACTGAAGAGTCAAGTTTCCTTTGAAAGAAATTTGAGACCGACGCTCGCTCGTCGGGCGGCTCCGACCGCAAAGGGTTAATACGAAGGGCAAAAAGTGTCGTCGCTCGCGAGCCGATCAACATAATCGGCGCGATGTAAACAATGTGGGCCTCGGCGGCGGTTGAAGCAAGAGAGACTTGCTCTTGGGCGTCTTTCCTCTTTCTTTTCTCGAAGGTTCCGGGACAACGAGGGGAATGCGAGGAGGCCTTTCAACTGTACGCGACATTGATTTACTATTTATTGATTACTGAAAATAAAGAAAATTATTCTGTCGAAACAGATTATATCGGATATTTGTTAGCTTTATGTTATTAATTAAAGAGTAAGGTGTACGATTAGAAAATGTGTTAGCAACCAATTGTACAGAGTGTCAAAGTTGTTGTGACGCCGTTTTCGGAGAATAATTAAAGGTCATGGTCGCGTTAAAGAGTGGAATTTCATCTCATGCGAATTTTGTCTCGTTCTTATTTGATATGTTAGATTATCCGCTGCGGACAATAACTCTTCTACTTTTCATATAATATTCAATTATAATAAATAACATTTAATCGCATTCGTTTGGCTCTTTTTATTTCGAAAATAAAAAAATATATGTCAGGGTGAGACTTCATCCATGACAACATCAACGTGATTTTCTTTGATGCTTTTTTTAAAAGTTCAGATATTTCGTCGACTTGCGGGATATTTATAATCGGAGTCTCGTCGCGTTAATTAACACGTGCTCCTTCGAGCGGATCGAATGCCACTCACCGATGGCCACTGTCAGCGCCACGAGCGAATGTCCGGAGCGGACGAGATGCTGAATGCGAGAAGCAGGACGAAGGGAACGGGACGCATCAGGGTAACGACATATCATGCGTCTCCAGACGTGTCAAATTGTTTATTATACAGGAGACTTTGACACGGCAACATGTATTCGAAGATTTAATATTTAATACGTACTTATATTTTTCCTGCTCCTGTCCCCGCTCTTTTTAGACCACAGGGCATAGTCTGGCATAGAGATGTCAGGCAACACGGTGGTTGCAGCACGGACATAAAGCACGCCTGAAAGTGGATGTAGCACGTACTTTCACCACATGCAGATTTTACCACCGAGACCTGCATGTGGATGTAGCATCGTAGTTCCCCTCTCAAAATGGATGCAGATGGCGTTCTTTCCCAGTGCGGAAAAACCGGTGTCGCAGAAAATGCCGTGTTGGCCGCTTTCAGGTTTCTCCCTGCTCGAAGAACGCGATGCCGGTAAAGCAGCGTCATATTTACACGCATTCGAAATTCGAAATTGCATATACACGTATATGTTGTTGGGTTGGCCGGCAGTGGACAGCAGCACCGCTCGGAATTGCGGCGCCTCGCTGAGATGGGATGAACCGAGGGCGGCAAGCTCGGGGACTGGGGGAGTTGAATACAAAAAAAGTCAACATAGTCGAGGAGATACGGAGATCTCGAGGGCGCGAGCGGAAAAAGAGTTAGGAAGAGAGTCAGAGTCGGAAGCGAGTGGAAAGGAGATAGACACAGAGGCAACAAGTTGCTGCACTTAGCCGACGAAACGCAGGGATAGCAGTCGAGCGTCGTAGCGGATTAAGTCGTCAGATGGTAGTAATTATTATAGCCTTAAGAATCGTATTGTTCTGGTGATATCGTTGTGATTCGAGTGAAATATAATTGTGCGCGCTGTGTGGTTTGATACTGTCGTGTATCCTTAATTAAAAGAACCTAGAAGACATTCCGACATACTCACTCGCCGAGTTGCTACAATTAGTGGGTTGATAAAATAATTATACATAGCCAGAAACAAGAGCAATAATCTTACAATATATATGTATGTATTCTTGGTATATCCACCGCACCATCGATAACTGATGGATATTACTTGTCACATTTGTTTCTTGAAACGTGGCGTTGTTAACGTCGCTTGCGCTTCAGTACCTCGCGCCCATTAGCTTCTCTCAAGAAAGAAGAGCTCTCATTGGATATCGTTCGTTGTGTTGGGTGTGCAGCAGGCGCGAGATACAAGAGTGTCAGGGGTGCGGGTAACGCGAATAAACCAAACGTCGCTATCGGTTGAACCGTTTGAGAAAGGAAACAATGCGAAATATCTCAGATTGTTTGCGCTTTAATTCAACATCATCGCAACGGGCTTGCACAATATCGTACAACATTCGAGGTTGGCTTCACAAAAAAAAAAAAAAAATATAGAGACAACAGAGCGCCAGCCAGTAAACGGTTGTAACATACCATGTACAAGATTATTCTTATTTCTTCAGTATGTTTATGAAAGTGTCTTTGGGCAGGGAAATTTTACCGATCATTCTCAATTTCTTTTTTCCCTGCGCTTGTTTCGTCAACAATTTATTTCGTCTAGTGATATCGCCTCCGTACTATTGGATATTGGAAAAACACAAATTTATGTAAAAATTAATTCGCAACCAATGTACGTGCTCAGATATATCGACACATTTACTTACTAATTTCGCTGTTACATCTTTTTTGTAAGGCTTTAGAGTTTCCCTCGCTATCACTTTGCTGCCTACCGCTGCTTGTATAGCTATTTCAAAAAGCTGTTGCGGAATGATTTCCAGAAGTTTAACGCATATTTTCTTACCCGTTTGATGAGCCTTCTCCGCATGTACAATCGTGCTCAATTCTTGTACCATTTTACCATTCAACAGAATATCCAACTATAAATTATGCGTCAAAATGAGAGATGAAGAATACACGACGTAACACGAAAATAGCAACAAGTCTGAGTAACAATTACCTTCACTATGTTGGATGATTGGTAATCATGATCTTCATAATCGAAACTAGCGTAACCGGAACTTATGTTCTTCAAAGAATCGTGGAAGTCAACAATAATTTCGTTCAATGGCATTATATACCGCAAGACGAGTCTGTCATTACTGATAGACTCGTTCGATTTCTCAATCCCTCGCTTTTCTCGGCAAAGCGACACGATTTGATTCGTATACTCAACTGTACAACATTGTACAAAGCATCGATTACTCTACAAGTAGCAATATACGAGTAAGAATTAAAACAAACTTATCTCAAAATGTCGGATCGATATGTTCAGGGTTGAATTCATACAAGTCACTGAGCAATATCAGTAATGTCATAATTTTAACTGACAAGATGAGAAGTGAACAATTGATAAAACTTGTACTCGTTGCAATCTCTCAGCTCGTGCACATGCAAACTTCCCCGACTTCCTTTCCTGACTTTTGCAAGAAGGCTCGAACGTTGGGGATGATACCGTTGGGTGTGGTACCGTACGTACCTGGTGTTATAATAGTCGCCACGATCATAGGCTCATAAAATTCACGAACGATCAGCGGATCTGGAAAATGTTCCGGATTGTTAAATATCACCGTATCACCTTGATACTTGGTTATATTCTTGGCGCCGAATATCTTGGCTTTGTACGTGACTGCGGGTGCTGTGACTATCGGTTGCGCTTTGTACTCTTGTTCGAGACGCTGAATGAATACCTCCATGTGCAGCAAGCCTAAAAAACCAATTCGCCATCCTCTTCCCAGCGCAACACTGTAACATGTGCGATGTGAGTATCCGTTCAAGGAGAGACGAATCAATCCGCAATCGTTACGATACATGTGTCAAGATATATGGTACGGTAGAGTCACGATGTGATTACGGTAGAGAAGTCATGATACCTCGATTCTATCGCGATAGCCACAGCACTGTCGTTCAAAGCAAGTTTGTCGATAGCCGTTTGTAGAGAGGTAAATTGCGACTGATCCGTCGGATATACGCCAGCAAATACCATCGGTTTCGGTGGATCGAATCTTTCCAATGGATCAACCGTATGTTGCTTCAGATGTAAAGTGTCTCCGATGCAAGCAACCTTAGACTTCATATTGCATGAAACAATACCAACTTGTCCCGCGAATCTAGATCAGTTGAACGACAATCAAAACGACACGCATATGAGAGTTATTCATGAGAAATATACATATGAAAATTATCAACGATTGTTATTGATGTATGTGCGCATGCGTATACGACGTCTCGTCATAACGTTTATCGACTCACATTGTGCGGATGTCTTCCACATGAGGTCTGAGGAAAGAAATATTTTTAATTTCGTACGATTTGTTGATATGTAGAAAGTTGACATGTTCACCGACAGATAATGATCCATCTTTGACATAAATCAAGGAAATGGTACCTTTGTATTTGTCATACCAGCTGTCGAATATCAATGCTCTAAACGGATCAACTCTAGTCACCGTAGGCGGTGGAATCTTTTCGACGACAGCATCGAGAATCATGTCGATTCCAATGCCTAGCTTGGCAGAAATCATGGTAACACCAATATCATCCGTACCAAATAAAGTTCGCAACTGATCGTGTACTTTCTCAGGATTGGCATTCTTCATATCTATTTTATTGATGACTGGCACAATCACAAGATCCTTTTCTCGCGCTAGATAATAGTTGGCTACAGTTTGAGCTTGAACACCATCATTGGCATCAACCAGCAGTATGACCCCTTGACAAGGGGATAAAGATCGACGAACTTCCGCCGCAAAGTCTACGTGGCCGGGTGTATCGATGAGATTGAGAAGAAAGTTTCTTCCTCGATAGAAATAAGACAGCGATGCCGTCTGAGCCTTCACGGTAATTCCACGTTCTCTCTCCACTTGCAAATTGTCTAGAATCTGCTTGCCGGAATTCGCTTTGACTGCACCCGTTATTTCCAATAATCTATCAGCAAGTGTACTCTTACCATGATCAACATGAGCAATTATGCTGAAGTTACGAATAAGTTGAACGGGTATATCGTACGTAACATCGGTCGTCACCGACGAGGCAAAGTATCTGATCGATGAGCAAGACCATCGTCTGAAAAGAAAAGATTCGGATTCGGTGGGACACACGTGATACGATGAAATCAAACGCGACAATTTCTTCTCACATTCCAGTTTGATTACGAATCTTTAACGCGGACGACGAAGAAGGAAATAAAGGGAGAGAACGTTACGAACCTTTGTTTGTCAAACACTCGCATATTTCGAGCAGCACGAGTGATCTCGCCGCAGACGAAATTGTAGAAAACAGTACGCATTGTGACGTATGTAACGTCTGACAATGATGAAATCATTACGCAAAAAATTTTATCATACTCGGAATACGATAACCGGTGATGAGCATCCGCTGGAAAAGCGGTAAATTTTTTTTCCGTCTCGGTGGTTGCGAATCACTGTGTCATCGGCTCACCTCGAGCCGTTTGTACTCGGTTTTTTGGCACAGAATCACTCGAACTGATAACAAAATTATTGAAAATTCCAAGGAGGTGACTCTAACCTCGTTGCATTTGTGCGATCCAGAGACTGCCAATTCCATAGACATGGTACAAATGGACAAAGAGGAACAGGGACTTCTTTTCTCCTAAAGGCTCGTCTACAATAGCTGTAAGAGTAAAGGCTCGTCTACAATAGCTGTAAGAGTAAAGGCTCGTCTACAATAGCTGTAAGAGTAAAGGCTCGTCTACAATAGCTGTAAGAGTAAAGGCTCGTCTACAATAGCTATAAGAGTATGGGCCAGAGCACAGTGGTGGTACGACGTAATTTTATAGACTTATGTCCGTTTCTACAAACCGTGGTTAATTTAACCGACTGATTATTCCATCGGAATGGACCAATCGCATTTAATAATTCTAGTTAATGACAAATGTGACTGGTCAATACCGTTGGAGTAACCAACCGGTTAAATTAACCAAAGTTGGTAGAAATGGGCATTAGAGTGCGGTCCGGCAACCGCTACAAACCGCTTTGAAGCGTTTCTCTTTCTCGTTCTATTTCTCGGATGCAAACGAAGAAAGAGAGAGAAGTAAAAACGCTTCGAAGCATTTGTAGCGATTGATGGACCGCACCCTATATAGAAAGGCGTAACCAAGGAAAAGAAAATAGATAAGACAGGAAAGTTGATGCTTATAATAATTCGTACTACCTAATAGCTTTTCTATGACAGATCGGGAATCTTCGGTTATAGAGAATTATACTATGTTATACTATCTTTAATATTTTAGCTAAAAACGTTCGGCAACGGATAAAATAGTAGTGATTTTTATGAAATTACTAAATATTATTTGGCTACTTTGATATTTTTTTCCGTTATGGATTAAATGAATGTGTACTGATAGCTAATATAACCTCATTTAATAATATACATAAGATTTTTTGTCATCTTTATCCTGTAAGTATACATTTTATTTATATATCTTATTATTAATAAGAATATAAATAATTATAATAAACTAATTTATTATTTTATTTCTAATAACCTCTCTCTCTCTCTCTCTCTCTCTCTCTCTCTCTCTCTCTCTCTCAGTTAATGAATATTAAACAATCTTCAACTAAAAAAGATTTATTAGAAAAGAAATTAATATTTGTAAAAAGAGAGAGACAAAGAGATAGACCAATGGTTGCAATAATGAGAATTTTAATGGGAGAAGAAATAGAAGAAGAAGAAAAAGAAAGATTTACGATTAGAACGCTTATTTTTAAGAGATTAAAGCAATCCATTTGATTAGTATAAATCCCCTGGGGACGTCCAGAGACATCCCTTGATGTTTTCTGAACATATTTGCTATCAGGGATGTACGGTGCAGTTAGGGTGAAATATTAAATAAAACCTTTACTTTCATAAATAAATAATGATACTTATAAATAATAACATATACTAATAAGATTTTAATATAATTTTCATATTTTATTTCATTATTGATTAAAATATAAGAAATGGAACAAATACAAGGTGGTTCAAATATGAATTTAATTTAATTAAGTAATTGTGTGTGTGTGTGTGTGTGAGATAAGATATATATATTCAATATAATATAAAATAATATTTACCCATAATTTCTTTTAAATTCATATGAATTTTCACTCACTTTACCACTCATTAATAACATTAGCAAGAACATAGACACCCTAACATTAGAGAACGTACACACGTCATTATATAAACTGCCTCGTAAAGATTAGGAAATAGATAAAGAAAGAGCTATGAAGGTCTTTCTATTTCCAGCACTTCGGATGACAACCGAAACAGCCCGATGATGCACGATTCTACTTAAGCCAGCGGCACACGATGCTTGTTTTCGTGCTGGATTGCTTGCTGGATGAAAATACTGCGTTCTGATTGGTGCATTTCCATCCATCTTCGGAAATGTACCAATCAGAACGCAGTATTTTCATCCAGCACGAAAACAAGCACCGTGTGCCGCTGGCTTTACATAATTACTCTCTTTATATAGGCAGGAAATTTTTTCTATTTCTTCATCTATCATTTTACGTAGTTCCATGGCAGGCTTTTGCATAACGCATAAGAGAATAAACCAATAAGTTTTCTTCATTTCCCTCCTCAGGACAGAAATGAAGAACTCTGATTGGTTGATTCTTTTATGTGTTGTGTATTATGCGTTATGCAGAAGTCTGTGCTCTGGCCCTAACGCTGCCGGTGTGTTCGTAAATGCGTCATGTTCTTTTCGTGTTCATTCGTAGAGATAGCCTTCGATCTTTAGGCGGTTTTTTCTACTCATCAGTTAACTTACTAATAGTTAAATCATACGTTTATCTTTGTTTTTCCTTCGAAATAGAGAAAGACAGACATATAATTTATATAATTTAACTGTTAGTTAATTTACCAAGAGGTTGGAAAAACCGGCTGTAATAGTCGACTGTGATTGGTTAATTTCTTAACGCTTAAGTCTTAGAACTCTATTGTAGACTGGGGCTTAGAACGACTTTAAAAATTTCATGTGGTTAGTTGCAAAATGTTAGTCCTCACGTAAATTAATAATCATATAACTTATTTATCTATACAAAATACACTACCATATATTTAAAAAAGAAACAATATAAAAGCTTTATTTGTAGGAAATGAATTAATTTTTAAATATGCGTTATTGAGATTTCTGATCAACGAGTATTTATGAAAATACATGAAATTGTAATACAATATTTATTTTTATCAATCTTACGTCAAATCCGAGTATATAATAAGCATATAACATGTTTTTATGTGAAAAAGATGTGATATCCTAATAAACCTACCTTTTCGCTAAAAAGGTAAAAAAAAGCGCCAAGTTCATGCATTCCCATCTCATTCCCGTTCATTTACTAATGTTATAACTAACTAGCTAATATTATAATTGTAAATATACAAAAGCAGATGTTTCTAAAATATATTTTTTTATATGATAACAAATCCAAAAATGTTAACATGAAATATTATTCAAATTTCTATTTTTTATAAAAGAAGATATTAAATAGTTTAACCAAATAAAAATAAGACAAAATCAAATTATATCATTTTATTTGTATTTTCTACAAAAACAATGATGTTACAAAATTTACGCCAAGTATGTTTACAAATTATTATTTAAATTAATTTTAATTTAAATTAAAATTATTTTAAATTTTAATTAAAATTAATTTAAATTAATATTTTAACTTACTAGCTAATATTATAATTGTAACTATACAAAAGCAAATGTTTCCAAAATATATTTTTTTATATGATAACAAATCTAAAAACGTTAACTTGAAATATTATTATTCAAATTTCTATTTTTTATAAAAAAAGATATTAAATAGTTTAACCAAATAAAAATAAAACAAAATCAAATTGTATCATTTTATTTGTATTTTCTACAAAAATAATGATATAAAATTTACGCTAAGTATGTTTATTTTCTAATTAATAAATTATTTTCTAAATTATGTTTTATTATTGTTACCTTAACCAAATAAAATTAAAATATTAAAATAAAATATAGTTATTTAAACTTATATTTCCCACAAAAGACACGATATAGAAAATTAGGTTATCTCAATAATTTTTGCAAAAATAAATATACATTAAAATATTGCATCAATTAAAAATGTAAAACAAATTTATAATTTTATATATAAAACATTGCTTATAATGTGTTATTTATGTAAAATAAGTATATAATTTGATATAAAAAACATTGTTTATAATGTGTTATTTATTTTACATTTTTAATTGATGCAATATTTTAATGTATATTTATTTTTGCAAAAATTATTGAGATTCAACCTAATTTTCTATTATAATATGTCGTATCTTTTGTGAGAAATATAAGTTTAAATGACTATATTTTATTTTAATATTTTAATTTTATTTGGTTAAGGTGATTATTTGGTTAAGGTGACAATAACAAAACATAATGAAGAAAATAATAATTTGTAATAGTACTTGGCGTAAAAATTTGTGATATCATTATTTTTGTAGAAAATTCAAATGAAATGATTTAATTTGATTTTGTTTTATTTCTATTTGGTGAAACTATTTAATATCTTCTTTTATAAAAAAGAGAAATTTGAATAATAATATTTTAAGTTAACGTTTTTAGATTTGTTATCATATAAAAAAACATATTTTAGAAACATTTGCTTTTGTATATTTACAATTATAATATTAGCTAATTAGTTATAATATTAGTAAATGAACGGGAATGAATGGGAATGCGTGAACTTGGCGCTTATTTTATCTTTTTAGCGAAAAGGTAAGTTTGTTAGGATACAAATCACGAAATTACTCCAACTGCTGTCTCGACATCTTATCATAAAAAGTTCAATAATTTCGAAATGACTTACTCAATGTGAAAAAGTTATAGTGCTTTGGAAAAGTCTGAAGAAAGGCTACAAGAATATGCAACAAAAAGTAGGGGGCCCCGTTTAAAAAATTCAAGATGACCTTGGTGACGCCACCCAAGGTCAATCTCATGTAATTAAATAGATCCTTTGAAACCCTACAATTTTTATTTGAAACATATTTTTTAAAATGCTTAGTTTTTGTGATATTTCACCGTCTCAGTACTTTTTATACATCCTGTGTATGGTAAAATTGAAGAACGCTAGAAAGGACCAGCTAAGGCTGTAGAATACCATAGATCGTTTGAGACCCAGTCACAATGGGAAAACCAAAAATATGCGCAAATTACGTTAAAAAGCAATATTTTGTTTAAATTTACTGAAAGTTTGTGACTCAAATTTAGTTAGCCAAAAGCCGTTTTAGAGCGAGAGTAAGTTATACAAAGTATAATTTTAGTTTCGAAAATATTGATATCTTATACTAATAATAAGTGTGGTTATGCTATGAAGAAGAATCAGGAATTTAGCGTTAAAAGCCGAAAAGTTACAGAAAAAATCACTATAAAGCGGCTAAAGAGCGTTAGATAGCGTATAAAAGAAATTTAGGTAAATATGCAGTATAACGCCCTCACCTTAGATTTTTTTGAAATTTTGAAAATTTGTGTATTTTAATGCGTAGAATTGATTTCTGAAAACGAAAATTGTCGCTCATGTACCGTTTTTTTTAATTAAAAGTTTTATGATGTCGGTAG